GACTGTTCTATATAATCTCTGATTCCTTCTAAAAACTACCACTCGGATACGGATCAAACGGATTTTGATCACAATATTATTAATATATAAAAGTTATATCTTGTTTGATATTTATACTTTTAGATTTGATAGCTTAAGCCAATTGAATTTCTTTAATATATTTATTAAAAGATTCTAAAGTTGTAATCTACTTGAAATTAATACTTTAGATTTGATAGTTTGCCTTAATTAAAACTATAGTTTTTAAAACATTTACTAGAAAATATATATATATATTAAATATCTTTTATAACTATATAAATCAAAAATATAATATAAAAAAATAATTTATCAAATATTAATATGTGTTTTCAATAATATATTTTTTAATAAAAATGAATTAGAAGATTAGATAGTTTAAATTAGTAATAGAATTTCTATTTTTGTATAATATCTAATATATAGGCTTTATATTATATATAAAATTTCATAATTAAATCATATATTTGTAATAGGTTATAGTTAATTTGTATTTTACAAAGACTATTAATATAATGATAATAAATATATATTTAATTAAAGCTTTATATTTAATGCCTATTTGTAATATATAAAAAAAAAAAAAAGAAAGAAAAAATATATAAAAGAGATTTATATAAATAAGTAAAAAAATAAAAGTATTAAAAAAAAAATTAAAATAAAAAAAAATTAAAAAAATTATTAAACAATATATAATAAATAAATTGAAAATTATATTTAATAAAATTATATTTCAATTAAGTTTTTTTATATAATAATAATTATATATATAATCTGACTATCTATTAATTAATAATTAAAATAATTTCTATAAATAATTTACTTTTTTAAAGATTTGTTAATATAATGACAATAAATTTTTATTTAAATAAAGTCTCGTATTTAATACCCATTTGCAATAAAAAAAAAATAATTAAAATAATTTATTTGTGTGTTATTTTTTTGAAATTATCAAGAAAAAATAAATTAATAAATAAATTATTATTAAAAAATAATTTATTTATTATAATTTTATTTTAATATTTTAAAATTGAATTTTCAATATAATAATTTTTAATTAATATTTATAAATTGATTATAAATATATAATAATATCAAGGCTTAGTTCTTATACGTGAAGGCCTGTTTTTAAAATTAATTATAAATCCAGTTTTTTCTTAAATTAAGAATCTAATTTCTTATAAAATCATTGTAAAAGACAAGACAATATAATCAATTAGTTATTGTTGGTCACATTTTTTCTTTTTATACCATTGAGATCTACAAACGAATGTTGAATTCAGATTTGGAAACTTAGCTTTGGAAAAGCCAAGCCAAAAAGAAAATCCGCATGGTTTTCATAAATCAATATATAATCTGTCAAATGACCAATAATCACTAGGGGGTTATGGAGAAGATGTACGATACGAATATAGTTTATCATTTTTTATTGGATTTAAGTGAATTCGTGATACAAAAAACTGCGTGACTCTTGGAACAAGTTATATTTATTGAAGTGCAAAATCAACTAAGTAATTGAAATTTAGTTGTTTAGTGAAACATAAATTAAAATTGGCTTATGCAGATGTAAGTATCAATATTATAAACATAAGAAAGGACAAGTATCCGACTCCTCAAACATCTTACAAAACGTTACCAAAACGTAGTGTTTTTTTATACCTTCGCTTAAAACCTCCGTCGTTACATTTTTTGTTCCTGCCGACATACTTTTAAATCTAAGACATATTACTCAGTAATCATGCAAACTATAAAGTGCGTCGTCGTTGGTGATGGTGCTGTCGGCAAAGTAAGCATCCTCATTCCCTTTTATTGAATTGTTTTGAGCTCCGGCTTTAATGCCATCAAAGTTACGATTTGATCGCACACCTGATTGACCGAGTAGAAAAGAAATGCGGTCAACACTCAGTTTGAATTGGTTTTATCGATAATCGTATAGTAGGAGCTATGCGGCATGTAGATGTATTTTAAAAGCGAAGTAAAATTTATCAACAAAGACGAAATAATTGAAATTAACGAGCTAAATTAAAAAATATATATTAATTGTACACCACAATTGCTTATAATTGTTTTATATTGATTAATCGTTCTCACATTATCCCTTCTTTTATTTAATTAGACGTGTCTATTAATCTCCTACACAACTAATAAGTTTCCTTCTGAATATGTTCCTACGGTAAGTAGATAATTTAACATTTTTCAAAAAAATATTTCAATATTCTAACCTTTGTCTATAAATATATAATTTCGGAGTAGGTATTTGATAATTATGCCGTTACAGTCATGATTGGAGACGAACCATATACGTTAGGTTTGTTTGATACAGCTGGTGCGTAAATACGAATGAATTTTTAGATATTTCATTTTTCTGAGGGCTATCAAGTCAGTTGGTCTATTATTGGAAATATTTATTAATTTTTTTATTCATTATACGGATGCTTGTAAATGACATTTATAACTTGCCCGAATCTCCGGGAAATTTGGTAAATAGGTCAGGAAGATTACGATCGCCTTCGTCCACTTTCCTATCCTCAAACAGACGTTTTCCTTGTCTGCTTTTCTGTAACTTCACCTGCTTCCTTTGAGAACGTTAAAGAAAAATGGTTTCCTGAGGTTCACCATCATTGCCCTGGTGTTCCATGTCTAATCGTTGGTACACAAATAGATTTGCGAGATGATCCTATGACGGTTGAAAAGCTATCGAGACAAAAGATGAGACCCGTAACTTCAGAGCAAGGTGATAGACTCGCCCGAGAATTAGGAGCCGTCAGATATGTGGAATGTTCAGCATTGACGCAAAAAGGTTTGAAGAATGTATTTGATGAAGCCATTGTTGCAGCTCTGGAACCACCGGTCACTAAGAGACAACGCAGATGTTTACTTCTGTAGATTTATTAATATTTTAAAGATTTTTTGTACTTGTTCCAATATTTTTAGTTTATTGAATATACCCTTTATTTTATAATCATTATTTCGTTTACTATTCCCACTCAACTTTCCATCATCTTCACTCCCTTATTGCTATTATACTATACCGCTCTATATTCTTTGTGAATTCATACATTATGCGGATCATTTTTGGATTCTCAGGGGTTTGTCAACAGTAAAAAAATTTTTATTTTGCAATTTATAGTTGGATGCGGTAGCATACATTGAGATTGAACTATTCATATACCGAATTTTTTCCTTTTTTTTTTACCTCGAGCTTACCATACAAAAAAAAAATTGTTTTTTTTTAGCATATATTCACCAAGAGAATAGTACCTTTTTGGAGATATTAATTTGCTTCAATATATTGTATCGAGACAACGGTTGGATATTATAATTTTGTGCGGGAATTATGAAACTCCGCGCCAAAAACCGTCCAACAATCATTTCCAAATACACACCGATATATAGATGTTTCCTGGTAACAAATCGGTGTATTGGCGAGTGAACAGTTGGGCTGCTATTTCTTAATTTGTAGAATCGCCAACTACTTATATGTTTGTTCAATGTAGCCCAACGGAACACTGTAAGAATTGTGTCGTACAATTTTAATAAATTGTGTTTATTGAAAGTCAAGATCGCCTGTATTATGTGCATACATGTTTTCAGAACAAAATCCGCCTGTCTTCCGTGCGCGATTCTGCTTTTTTGTAATGTAACAAACTTTAGAATTAGTAAATTATGCACAATTTGTAGACACGCATATATAATTTCATATACAATGGTTTTTTATGTTTGTCTTGTCATACTCTACTGTCTGATTTAATTTCCATAGTAGAAATCTATTTAATTTTAATTATTTATTTAATAATTGTATCTATCCATATACTATTATCTATACCGGATTTTTAATTAAATTATTAAAATAAACAAATCTTTTGATATATTGAAAAAATTTTAAATTTATTAATCTTAAATGTTTGTACATAATGAATAATTGGTTTAAATAATAATTCTAAATTATAATAAAATTGTATCAATATAAATTTTTAAATTAAATATGAAATAAAGTTTGTATAGAAAAAAAAATTAAATTCAAAATTATATAGCAAAAATTAAATGAACTTATTAATTTTTTTTTATTGGTTTTTCTTATCAATATATATTTTATTATTATCTTTTCTTGCTGCTTGTTACTACTTGCTGTTTTCTTCTATTAAATATATTAATACTATTTTTTATTTATTACTATTATCTTTTTATATAATGTATTCTTTATTGATTAAAATTAATACTATTTTTGATTTTCAAAAACGTTATCAAATTTTAATTAATTTATATAATTAAATATTTATTTAAAAGAAAAAAAGATCTTTATCAAATTAAATAATTAAAATTAAAATTATTTATTATTTTTTTTAATTGGTTAAAGACATTAAATATAAGGTTTTATTGATAATTTATATTTTATTATTATATCAAACATCTTTACAAGCTAGATTATTACTATTCTAAATATAAATTAATATTACTTGAAACTTCTAATAATATTATTTTGATATTACTTTAATATTAGTTTAATACTTAAATTTACTATAAATTTATATAAGTAGATTACAACCATATATTAAATTTACTATAGATCAATATTATTTTAATACTAATTTAATATTAATTCAGTATTTTTCAAAGCCCTAATGTTCTAATGAATACCATTTTCAATATTATTAGTTTTTCTTAAGTCAATTCAACTATTCTGATTAAGTTAACTTATATTATGAAAATATATTTATATTTAAATAGAACTTGTACAGAAGAAGAAAGTTCTATTACTAATTTAAATCTATATTTTTTATTGATCCAATTGTATTTTTTAACTGTTTATCAAGAGAATATTATATAAAGTATATACAGTATGGTACAAAAAAAATGACAATTAAAAAATTATTTATTATATTCAAACTAATTTATAAAATTACATCAAAAAAAAATTTTTTTTTAAAGATAAGGTATATATAATTACATAAAAAAAAAATCCATATAATATCCTTTCACTATTTTGTTCTATTACTAATTCACACCTTTATTTTATCAAAACATATTAATCTTTTTATAACAATTTTAGAAATATCATCCTATTCTTCCTGCATATATTGTATTAACTCCTTGTGATTCTTAAGTATGCTTTTCTCTATTATCAAGAAATTTTTTAGCAAAAATCTTCAAAGATTTTTGAACGTAGACTTCTGGAGGATTTCTGTCACAGTTAAAAGACTGAAGCAAAAATTTATATATTAAACTTTGAAGATCTTTAATTTAATTTAATAATAATAAACTATATTTATATTTACATATTATAATTTAATAATATTTAATTTTAAATTTATTTGTTTATAAAATTATTTTTATTATACGTTAATACTTGTTTACATTTATTTATTTGTTTAAATTTTTGCTTATTGCCAAAGTTCTTTTTTCTAATTCTCTATTTTTTAGTAGTTGTTCTGGATTATACTCAGTATTTTCATATTTCTCCAGATTATCTTCTATAGTAATAATTCATGGATTAGTCATTTTTTTATCTTTGCTACTTGAATTTTCTTCTTTAAATCTAAGTTCTTTTTTAATTCTCTCCTAAAAATATTATTAGTAATTATTATAATACTTCAAAAATTTTTAAAAACTCACCTTATTTTTTTCTACTTTGTTTTTAATTAATATTTTATTTATCGAAATACTTTCATTATTTGGATCAAGAACTGTTTGACATACTACAATGGCAAATATCACTTGTTCATCAGAGACATCTCCCTTTGGCCAGACTTTTTTGAGAATATGGGTCATCATGCTTTATGTCTCTTCTCTTGAATATTTGTGAAGGTTTTCAAAGTATTTGACAGTCTTTCGAGATTGTTTCTAGGCCAAAATGTCAGTAGCAGATGCATTCATATTTATTGTATTTAAAAACTCTTCACCAAAAACTGAAAAACATGGCATTACAAATAAGGTTCCAAAAAGTACTGAACTGGTATCAAACCGGTATTGAA